GCAGTGAGGAAGAAAACACCATCTGAACGAAAGCAAATAGTTGCGGACAGGCACGAGCATGCATTTTTTGCATAGTTTTGTTCGGCATATGTTTGCTTGATTTGAAAATTGAAGTCATTTAGTTTAATGTTACTACTAGCAGACAAATCTTGAATGATACAACGTAAAAGCACATGAAAATTGATTTTATTTCTGAACAGCACATGGTCCCGACTAGGTTACGAAAAATTTTAGCTTCCTAGCTTGTCCGGTGGCCATACTGAATAAAATTTACTCGAACATACATACGTACACAGGGCCTCGACAACATGCGTCCTATGCAACGCTTGCAGCATAAATGCATAAAAATTAGCACAAACACACGCACGGATATCCTTTATATCCACTACATATACGAACAAGCCTACGTACACACTCATTCAAGCACACACATATCAACCGTTTATTTGCACACAGAAGCGCAATACACAAACGTACACACAATATGCATTTTTGCATTTATGCAAATGTTATAAAGGCGCATATGTGTGTGTGTGTGTTTGTGTGATATGGTGGATTGGATGCAGCAAACTGGAATGAGAGGAACAATCGGATAGAAGCATGAAAAGCAGTAATACCGCGCTGGCCAGATGGCACTGTCCACGGTAATGCTTCTTTCAGGCATTGTGAGGGCCACTGGAAGGGTGGAATAGGGAAAAGCGAGGATGGGAAAGCAAGGTGCCTGATCAATGGCTTACAAACCGGACCACAGTCCGCTCTTAACTGAACGAAACCGCAATGCAAAACGAGCGATAGGTGAGGATGCGGCTGTGACATCTATCACCGTATCGAGGATTTGGTCGAGGAGAAGGGATTCCGCACCGATGGATCGGGCCAAGTTGATCTTATTGCTGATAAGTGCGGTATGTCCTTGGAGTTGTAAAAAACAGACCTTGATTGAACCCACTGATACCCGCACACTAACGAGATATACCACTTTTTTCTTTCCCACTATTGCGATGCCCTATATGCGAAAATGGAGGAGGCAACACTTATTTCATTTTAAAATGAACAACTGCCGAAACCCTTGTGCTAAAAAATGAATGAATCACATGGGTAAAAAATACTTTGAAAATGACAATCTGCTTGCGAAATAATTTGAAAGACGCTAAATTTATAAAACAAACTGAGCGGAAAACTAGAAGGGACTGCGTTACTTTTTTGCGAGTAAATAGTATTTTGGAGAGAATTCATGCGAAATTTAAATAGTATTCGAGTAATAATGCACTGTAGCAAATTCCTCTTCAAAAAATGCTTATGCCTCTCGCGCAGCTTCATATCGGTATTTGTTTAAAGTAGTCCATTCCGCTTTCGACACCCAATCATTATTAAGCCATGCGATTGCAGTTAGTTTCATATGAGTTTCACATTTTCAAAAATTATTTTTTGCTTTTGTTAAATTAAAACCCATCCCTAAAATCACTTTCAATGACAGGTGGAAGTATTCGGCACTGGCCTGACGATAACATATCCCAACAGCAACTATCCGAAGGTGAGCCAGTCGACCGATCCCTCCTCTGATGGTTATCTAGAAGCAAATTAGTTCAGATTACCGTGTGTAGGCCAGTATCAATTTACCACTGAAACTATGAAATTTTGAAAGAATGATTGGGCAGATAGTGATCCCAATGTTTGAGCCTAATCCTTCACTCTTAGTAGAAGTGCTATTTGTCACTACACACGGGCTTTTAATTAACGCCGGAAATACACACTCCTTAAAAGCTTCTTTTTCTTCTCTCTATTTTTTAGATTTAATAAGGTGTATCAGGTAGCAAGGCGTATCAGAGTTACCGGTGCGACCATGCGTTTTCGAGGTCTGAAATTTACCGTTTCCCGATACGAGGCGTTAGTGTGCCGGAAAGTGCCATTACGCTTTCCGCGCCATATAGAAATGCAGTTTTGGGTAGTTGTACATGTAGATACTAAAAATCAACCCTGCCGGGATGAAAGACGAATTGTAGTGACTAAGGTGTGCCTCTTCAAATGGCAAGGTAGGAGTAGAGGATGCTTTAAAGAGGTCGGGATCGCAACAGAAAGAAGGAACAGGGATATTAAATGGGAAGGAGCTGAGATCTTGCTTAGAGGTAGGAAGTGAAAACAAGAACAGGGATCAAGGGGACGGGAAAGGGGGGAGGGAGGAGGAGTGGATTTAATGGGTTTTTGATGCTCAACAAGAAAATAAGTGTTGATTTAAATCTGGAAAGCTTGTGCACGACACTTAAAATTTCATCTAGACAAAGTATTGCTGCCGTATGTAAGTATTTACTGATTTTTACTTTTTAGCAATAATTCAATGTTCGCGTTTCCGCCCAAAATTTCAACGCTTCATATAAAAACAAAAAATTTGCTCTGATTCAGAAAAGAT